GGGGGATTGCACGGGATCTGATAACGGTCTGGAAACTGGATAGAAACACAAGTTAGGCACAAAGTCTAAGGTGAAAAAATGGCACACAGTGTATTGTGAATGCACATCCCGCAAGAAAAAAGGAAGAATGATGCAGATGGCGACAACTTGATGACCTTTAACTTGGAAAAGGTAGGCGCTTTCTCTCCGGCCTTTGAAATTTAGCTATTTGAACATTGTCCTCGATCGACAAACTTTTGTACCTTGGGCTATTGCCATCTTTAATTTAAAATACGAAATTTATGCATAAATTTGTAAAAAAGTAGTTTTTTAGTTGAATATATTGCAGCAAGATCAAGCTGACTAGTGTATTTTTTAAGTTATAAAATAGCAATTGCAGCGAGGTCTACCGAACATGCTGATTATTGTATTAGTTAAACATATCTCAGTAAAAAATACTGGTCAAGTCCACACCTTAACAAAAGAGAATCCTAACCCAAATACTCAAAGCTGCTAATCAGTGACTGTGAGCATCAAATATTTATATTATGACTGATGAAAGGAACATATGCTCAAGCCATATCAAAATGAGAACCATCACTAGTATCTAAGGCCACCCTAACAAAGAGTATACGTACGTGTCTAACGAAACGTCGACAGTGGAGTACTTACCATGTTTGCATTATGAAGATGCCTCATTCATCCAGAAACGTTTGTCTTTCTCCACTAATGGCCGACACCATTAACCCCTTGAAGCAAAGCTTTCAGAGTTTCAGTTTGAGAGAAAAGGGGTCTCCAATGCCAATTGCCAGCAGACATGGAGCAATGGAGGCCGCCGGCCGGGCACAAACATGGAGGGCCAGGCACGCGAATAAAGCCTCTGCTCCTCCTACCACACCAAAATTATTGTGGCTAGCATCTTTTCCAGTAGCACACTGTAGCATAGAGAGGGTAGTACTAGTGGTAGAGGCTAGGAGGGAATATCAAATGGTTCCTCCTGTCCAGCGACCCTCAGGTCTCGTTTAGATTACAAATTTTTGTAATCTGGATATAATAGCGTATTTTGTTTATATTTGACAAACTTTGTTTAATTATGGACTAATTAGGTTTAAAAATTCGTCTTGTGATTTACAACCAAACTATGTAATTAGTTATTTTTTTACCTATATTTAATATTCCATATATGTGTCCAAAAATTGATATAATGGAAAGAATAAAAAAACTTTAAATTTTGAGGCAATCTAAACAAGGCTTCAGTGAAGATACCCTTCCTTCTCACCGTCACATCAGGCCACACCAGGAAGGAGATGGAACCAAAAAGTGGGGGTGTGCCAGCGGAGCCTTCTTGACTTCCACAGAAAACTAAAAGGACTCTGCACTCGTCTCACTCAGACAACAGTGTATTTTTCTTGTGTTCTCTGGCTTCAATTTGGGATTTGGGTCCAGTTTAGTTTGAGAAAATTTTGCCAAATTTTTTAGATTTTTTGTCACATCGAATCTTTGGACGCATATATAAAGCATTAAATATAAATAAAAAATAAAACTAATTACATAGTTTAGACAAAATTCACGAGACGAATCTTTTAAGCCTAATTAGATTATGATTGAACACTAATTACTAAATAACAACGAAAATTGACTATAGTATATTTTACAAAAAAAAATTCGCCACCTAAATAGGCCCTCGGAGGCTACAGGGCTTGGAAATGGCACTGGGATGGGCCAGCAGTCTGCCAACTGCCCAACTGCCAACCAGGGGGTCGTCTCATATGTCCACTTCCAATAAACCAGTCTGATCCAGCAAAGAAATTCCATCGGATTTGTGGCCAAGACAGCTAAGCGCGTGTTTAGTTACATGAATTGGAATTTAGGGTTACTGTAGTACGTTCGTTTTTATTTGACAATTAATGTTTAAACATAGACTAATTAGGCTCAAAACGTTTGTCTCGTAATTTCCTATCAAACTGTACAATTAGTTTTTTTTATCGTCTACATTTAATGCTCCATACATAGACCGCAAACATTCGATGTGACAGATACTATAGCAATTTTTTAGATTTTGGTAGAACTAAACGAGGGCTAATAGTTTTTGGACCTTTGGCGAAGGATAGCAACCTCGGTCAGCACGGACCAACTCAGCATGCCAATTGTCAATGGCGGGTGCTGGGGAACACCGAACATGCTGCTGCTCTGCTTGCTCTGTAGTGAGAACTGAGGAGACTGTTTTGACCTTGGTGAGTCTCGGATTGGGCGATCAAACTGACTACTGAGCCAGTGAGCCATTCGTTCATATCCATCCATAGTTTACCTGCATCCACAAGCGCATTTATAGCTACACACACCATTTTATAAATGCAAATCTCTTTAATGGCACTGTTCGCTGGTTGGTTTCAGTCAGAGCTTATCAGAGTGTTTTTCTCTCATAACAAACCAGCACCAGTCGGGTTTATCAGCCAAAAAACCAGCAAACGAACATGCTGAATAAATTCTACACCTACATGTGTGCCAAATCGATATCCAATCAAATCATTTAAGACGCATATCATCTCAGGATATTGTGTACTGTATTTATTAATATCCATCTCCTTCCGTGAAATGAAGATTTTGTAATTAAGCAAAACCAAACATGCATGGTTTTTTTTTAGAATACTAAAAAGGCTTACGCATCATTGTATTAAGATCGAGAAAAGTTAGTTTTTACAACGATGTGCCTCGGATTGGGCGCACTAGGGGGGAGGGGTTGTGTTATGATTTCATTTGAAATGCAATTTTGCACACGCCTCTCAGTCTCTGGCAATTTTCTGTCTTGCTTGGACTACTCTTGACTCGTTAAAAAGGCATGGACCACGGCTGCTTAAACTTGCTAAACACCTCATCATCGAAGCAGCAAAAGACCAGTGTACTAAGGAGATGGAACACGAACATCTCTACAAGACCCTAAAGTCGCCAGTGTTTCAATCAGTATGACAAAATGGTCAAGGAAAATGGGAACCCATTGGCCGGTTAGTTGCAAAAAGGGCAAGCAACTTTTCAAAAAGACGGATGGTTGCATCCTTGTATTGGGAGGCAAGAGAATGACGCAGGAGAAGTCCTGGCTTGCAAAACTGGACACATGGAGGCGGTGTGACAAAGGCACAAAGCTGGAAGAATCAGGCCAATTAACGGGCTATCGGATCCACACAAAATAGCATGCTTTTACGCGTTATTATATATACTAGTATATATACGTGGATATTTGCCTGGGTGGGGCTCCTTTGTTTGGATAGATAGATTAGAGAGTGGGCCCAACAAGAGGCATGGCACGGTGACTTATTACGAGTTAAAGCTAAGAAAGGAATATTTAACTGACATGACACATTCACGTGCTGGGTCACGTTTTAGTACCTTACAAATTTGATCAATTATAGATTAAAAAATATCAATATTTATGATGTTAAATAAATACCATTAGATAAATTATTAAATGTATTTTCATAATAAATTAATTTAGAGACATAATTATGAATATCATTTATTAGAAACTCAGTCAAATATAACCACTTTATATGACACGTGATCCATAGTTGCATTCTTTTTTAGGACGGATGTAGTATGATTTTATGCCGTAGGTTTGGGTTATTGGGTTATATAGTTTCTGGGCTGGTGGAGGTTGTGGAGACAGAATGTCCCTTTCCCTTTCTTTATTTTTAGTTTGATTGCGAATTTTGTGAGAGATATATGGCTAAGGGACGGTGTCTCTTTCTTTTTAGTTTGCTTGTGCATTTTGCCTAGCCACACGTTTTCCTTGTGAAAATGATTTGCCTCTTCTATACATCCACAAGTACAAAGTTACACTCCTATACAGATCAACCGAAAGACATAAGAGTGTCTTGTGTGGCCACCATACTGACCATTCTTGAAAAAAGACAATAAACATCACTTTTGTGATTATATATAGGAAAGAAACGCTCACACGGACGATTACATATGCTCATCACATCAGCATGCACTTGAATTATTGTTCGTAAATTTCACACTTGAATTATTGTTTGTAAATTTCCTAAAAACAGTAGCATACCGTATCAACTTCTAGTTCCTGATACATACAATTAGGGAAATACCTAAGCAAAATTTCCCAAAACATGCTCAAATCAAGTAAATGATTTTTTTTTGAAACGACACTATTAAATTCAGAACAGTTCTATTATGGTTTGAATAAATGTGCAGAGGATAAAAGTAAACCTGGAAAGAAATCATTTATGGACATTCCATGGTTACAAGTCACAACTCATGTAGGTTTAATAACCTCTAAAATAGCCATATATATACTCCTAGGCCGCGTTCGACTGGCTGGCCAACTGCGGCCTGGGCTGGCCAGCGCTCTCATAGTAGCACTGTTCACGCGAACAGTGTTCTCAGACAGAATATTATTTTTCTCTCACAACAATCAATTAAAATAATATTTTAATTTATTTTTCAGTCCTAACGAACATGCCATAGCTCGCTTAAATAACACACTACCCAAACCGCGCAAGAAACCGTACCGGGTCTTTGGGCGGGCTACCGGGTCCAGGCAGCCCACGGAATGGGCCTCCCTTTCCCTTCCCCAGGTACTCCTGCGTGACGTGGGGTGGATGATGTCGCGGGCGGCGTTTGGTTTGGAGTCCGACAAGGCAAAGCGAGAGAAGAGAAGGACACACAGCGAAGCAAAGCAAACCGAAGCCGGTTTCATATCGCCCCCCGCTGCCCCTCCCTTCCTCCGGCTCCCTCCCTTCCTCCGCAGCTCGAATAAAGTCCCCTCCTCTTCCAGTCTTCCTCCTCCGCGCTTCAATCTTCCCAGCGGCACGGTTTCGGTTCTTGCAGAGAGGCGCAGAGTGCCGGAGGATTCGGTTGGATTCCCTGCTGCTGCCGCCGCCGGTTCGGTTTCTTGGTTTGCCTTGAGCGATTTGGTGCGCCGCGGATTGTTGTGGGGTTGTGACTGCAGAGACGAGGGCCGTGTGGAGAGTCGAGGAGGAGGGAAGGGAAGGGAAAGGAGGGGGCGCATGGGCGGGCAGTGGGTGGAGGAGGGGATGCCGCCGTCCAACCTGCAGTGCTTCTTGGACTGCACCACCCCCACCGTGGAGACGCACATTCTCCCCAAGGTGACGCAACTGCCCCCCGTTAACTTCTCGCCTTCGGTGTTCTTTTTGCTTTCTGGCCGGGGCTTGGCATGGTCGCCGTCGATCTGCGGCGTCCTGGGCGTTTCGGATTTGTCATTTACTCCTTTCTCTGCCTGCACCGCTTAGTGTGGTGGGGTGGAAAATATGGGCTTTCTTTTACTCGTTTTATTACGGCTCATCTGTTTTACTGATACATCGTTCTGCGTTTTCTGACGGTAAATGCCCATGTCAAATTGCATCGTTCTGCGTCGCTAGTACTCTTTTTTTTTCCTTAATTATTTGGAGGATTGTTTGCACGATACCAAGTCTTACTAGCTGGAGAACAATCTTGAATTCGGTTTCCTTGTGTCAATTTCGTCTGCTCTTCAACTGTTCCATTAATGCTCTTGGGTGACGGATCCTATCTGAAAGCGAGTCGCCGTTCGTTTTGATCCAGACGAATGGACGATTGCCGACCGATGCCTGGCACCACGCTGAGATGGACAGCGTCGAGTACTTCAATCTTGCCGACCTCTGGGAACAGTACTATGAGTGGAGCGCGTACGGCGCCGGAGCTACGGTGCAGCTCCCAGGAGGGGAGAGGGTAGTTCAGTACTATGTTCCATACCTGTCAGGGATGCAGCTATACACCAACAAGGCCCTGACTGCATCCAGGTATGGGCAAGATCCTTACTAGGGGGAGATTTCGAGTTCATGGTGATTTTGAGCTGTAGGCCAATCCAATTCTCTGTTTGCTGCAGGAGCTTTGGTGAAGATAATGGCATGGATTTCTGGAGTGATGATGAGGACAACGAGAAGATGTCAAGATCCTGGAGTTCGACCTCTGATGAATCATTGTTCAACTGTGATGTGCTATGGTCCAATAGGAAGCGTCCAGGGCACCTGTACTTTGAGTTCTTTGAAGTAGGTTCACCTTATGGAAGGGTCCCGCTCATCGACAAGGTGAATTTCTGACCTTATTTCCACTGTGGTATGGATCGCTTCTCTTACATGATCATTGCCCTTTCTAGGTTTATGAACTATCCCAGGGCTTTCCTGGATTGACGTCACTGAAGAGTGATGACCTTTCGCCTGTTAGCTGGATGTCAGTTGCCTGGTATGATCAAATTTATGCCCACTGCTTATGTTCTTCTGAAAGAACAAAAATTAGTTGATGAAATAGTTATATTATGTAGTAGGTTTGTAAATAAGATCATTCTTCTTGAGCTTTCCTCGTTGCAAATAGTTTTATAGATTGAATGAAGCAGTTGCATACCGCACTAAACCTGTGCCTTATAGCAGTTTGATGACAGATTTGAGTGCTTCGATGATCTTTTGTTTCTAAATAGTAACTGTTATTTCAGAAATCGATCCTTGGTTGATTTTCTTTTCAGTGATAATAGCGGTTAGCATTATCATTCACGTCTGCTACTTTAACTAGGTACCCTATATACCACATTCCTTACCAGCGCAGCGTGAAGGATTTATCTGCATGCTTCCTAACTTACCATACCATTTCCTCCTCGTTTCAAGGTATGTTTTCCTCCTTGTTTTGTTTCAGGAATGTTTGTTGCACATCAGAGTATCAGACACTAAAACTCTACCATTTTGATACATTCTTATGGCACAATAATTTGATTATTATTCTTATAGGCTCCTGTACCAATGCCACACAGACATTGTATAACCATTGAAATTGTTATCAACAATCTCCATATTTTTAGGGCCTTGAGTTGATTTCCCTTGTACGACGTTTAGGATATTTGTGTTGGCATATTGGTTGAAATTTCAAACTCGGTTGTACCTGGAAGACCATGACTACAGGATATAATGACAGCTCCTCTTCTCTAGTGCAGTATTCTAATAAACATCTAGTCTTCCAATACTTCTGTTCTGTTGTGAGGTAGAACTTATTTGCATATAAAACATTAGGGCTTAATGAGTGAAAAAGTTACCATTTGTTCAAGCTCAAATCACATGATATGTATTGCAACATTATTATCATTCACAGGAAAGAGTATTTCTCATGTCTGTGTACCTTAGAAAAGATTTCCCTGAGCCATCGATATATTTCTTAATGTACACTAAGAAAGAGGAATGGCAATCTTGTGGCCTAGACCAGAACAAAGGAATTTAAATTGTTGCTTTCTCATTCTTCTTGTAACTGGTTGGTTGAGTGGTCTTTAGTTTTCAAACAATGAACTGTATATTTGGAAAAGGTGCAACTGATGCTTCAGTTACGTTTCTATATCTTGAAAGATTCATATTATATAACTTAAAGATGTGCTTTACACTGCATACCAGTTGGTATGTCACACTATTCTTAAATCAATTGATGGCTTAGCTTACAAGAGTATGAGAGTTTCCTTCAAGGCTTTGTTGGGTTTGCTATTTTGCATCCAGTTTGTCAACGCTGGTTTCAAAAGGCTTCATGTCTTAGCTTTTAAGTGTATAGTTAAGGAAACCACTTAAACAAAAAGTTGGTGGCAGCAGTTCTTTGCTCAGTAAAGAGAAGGAAAGAGACTGCCTTGTCATGTTCCATGACTTTAGAATTTATTCTTAGACATGCAGTTGTTCCTTGAAGACTAAAAATACGTACGCTATAACATGGAGGAAGAGTTGTTCATAGACACATCTTTGGAGAAAACTTGCTTGGATTGCAATATGTGCAAAAGCACCTAGGTTCACCAGCTGTCCTTCCTAAGAAAACAAATAATGATATTAGAGTCCAAATCAAGCCAGATCTTTGAACTTGAATGCGCTTTGCATGTGAAGACATTGACTTTCCGGCAGTTATTTGATATTGCATCATATCCTTAATTGCAGCTGCACCAGTGATGACCTTAGTACTGTTTTCAAACCACAGTAACATGTGTTATGTTTCTTACAGATCACGGGCTTGAGACCATGACCAATGATTGTTGCCATCCAGTTGCCAACGGCAAACAAAATGGCCATATGGATAAAAAGAGCAACACTGTATCACTGCCTCCATTTGGCCTCGCAGCACACAAGATACAAGGTTCCCTCTGGACCAACCCCATAACAGGAGATCACAGAAAGATGGACGTCCTCTTCAGCGCGGCAGACTCCTGGTTGAAGCAGCTTGGAGTCCAGCACCATGACTTCAACTTCTTCATCACTCACCCCATGTGAACCACTGATCTGGAGTAGCTTGCAAAGAACCACATGGGTTCAGTTTGAAGCTACTAATATTACTTACACCACCAACAACGGTAGCAAAACGTTTACACTACAGTGCACTGGTAAAGTGAGTTTAACAATCGCAGGATAGATTTATACTTGAGTTTACTGCAGCGAATACCAAACATGTCGGCACTCAAAAGGTTTTCTGTTTCTTGTTTCTTGGCAGATGTAACTGATCTGTACAGAAGTTTTGCAACTAATTTGGTATCCTGTGTGGTTGGATCCATATTGTAGCTGTTGCTTGTGAACTTTAGTGCCCTCGAGAATGTTAGTCCAGGATGAAACTGCTTACGCAGACTCCAGTTGGACCTGAATCTGTTGATGACAATTTCATTCCCTTCTACAAGTAAGGCAGTTGTACGCACACGTTTTCATTCTGATCGCTGTATTATTGAGTTGTGTTTCAAATAAGGAAGTCTAGAAGAGCAAGACAGCTGCATAACTTCCTTCGTGGGAAACCCAATACTAAATTGCAATTCAGCATGACGAATATTACAGCGCTTGCTAATACTGTTTAATGCAAAGAAGCGAAGTCCAACGAAGGCCTTGTTTAGATGTCTTCAAAATTCCAAGTTTTTTCACTCTCTCTCCATCACATCAATTTTTGGACGCATGCATGGAACATTAAATGTAGGTAAAAAAAATAATTAATTACACAGTTTGGTTGTAAATCACAAAACGAATCTTTTGAGCCTAGTTAGTCCATCATCAGACAAAGTTTGTCAAATACAAACGAAACGTGCTACAGTATCCAGATTGCAAAAATTTACAATCTAAACAAGGCCGAAACAGAAGAAATGTTAAGGCCTGTTTGGTTGTCTTATGAGTCGTACTATTTTAGCGAACGAACAATGTTTTCTCTCTCACAATAAATCAGCGAATAGTACTTTCAGCCATGGCTTTTCAGCAAAGCAAACAGTAGTTTTTTTAGCATGACTAGATTTATGAATGTCAGGCTTTCCATTTTAATTGATTGTAAAGATTTCTGTCAGTGCCTCGTTGGTCACCCTAAGAGCAGTGCCTGTGAAGCTGCAGTGTGAAAAAAACAGGCTCCGCTGCAAGTTGAAAACGAATGAGTTACAGAAAGAGAGCATAACCTGTGATCTTTGCGAAGTTCTGCATAAAATTACCAAATAGAACTAGTAACTTTATACGTCCAAATGAGTGTTGGTATTTTGCACATGGCAGTTTAATCGACATCAGACACGAGAGCACGAGGCCATATCGTTTCAGTGCGACTAAGCATACTGTAAGGGCTTCATTGTGAATACTGTGAATTCGAATCAACTAAAAAAAGGGTAAGTTAGAAACTAAAAAAATATGGACCATTTCTCAACTTTTTCATGTCACCCTTGAACAAGGGACATACTAATCTTGATAACGTTCCAATTTTATTAGATGTCTCTGAACAAGCATTCGCAAAAGTTAATCTAATGTACACCCCTACATAGACCCTCAAACTCAATTTTGAGAGGTGGGCCTAAAAACATAGGGTCCAACGGGCCCTTATTTGGCTTAAAAAAACAGGAGGGCTATCAAATCAGGCCGAATCCTACCGTTTCCCACATTATATTCCCTCTTTCGCGCTCGAAACTCTCCCCGCGTCGTTCCTAATCTTGCCCATCTGCCCCTCGCACCGTCCCTGACGGCCTGACGCTGCCCAAGCCCTCCTAGCCTCCTCCCCGAGTGCGGCGTTGTCAGTGAATTTTGCATCCGACTAGTGATCGGCATCTCACCCATAGCGAATCAGAGATTGGTAACACTGTGCGCCATGTGCTGGTTGCAAGGGTGGGGTGCTAATGTTCATGGTGGAATGACATTTATGACAATGAAATTTGGCCTCTCCGATCTAGGGCACCCTAAGCCTCCCTTATATAGCTTGGAAGTAGGGTTTTACAATGGTAAGGCCTGATCGGCTAAAAGGTCGAGATGACAGACTAGAGGAGGGTGAATAGTCCTTTCTAAATTTAATCGCGCCGGCTAACCGAAACAAATACGGAATTAAAATAATCGGTCTAGCCAAGACTACGCCCCTCTATCGAAGTTCACAAGCACCTTATAAAGATCCTAATAGACAACAAAGGTGTCGGGCTAGTTAGAGCTCGTCTATCCAATTTTAGGAGAAGGTCACACAAACCTATGCCGCTAGTATTTTGCACACCGGGGAGCTCCTACACAATTCTAGTGAGCAAAAGCACAAATCTCCTAAGCTCACTAGCAATGCTCAATAACAAGACAACCAATGCCAAATTAAAGAGCACAAATACTTAGCTACACAAATTAAGCAATGTAACTAACAGGGTTACACAAACCAAATTAGCCACACAAGGGAGCTACTTCTATGCTACACAAGCAAGAAAGTAACTAGTGAGCTACACAGGCTAACTAATTACAAGAGCAACTACACAAGCACAATGTATATGAAAGTAATTACAAGCTTGTGTAAGGAGATTGCAAACCAACGGAAAGAACAATGTTGACACAGTGATTTTTGTCTCGAGGTTCACGTGCTTGCCAACACGCTACATCCCCATTGAGACAAGCTCCAAGGTTGCCGCCGGTCCTCTTACTAGTGGTGACCCGCAAGTCACACTCTCCCATATGGAGTGCTTACCACAAGCTCTAGCACTTGACTCGGTCGGACCACTTGTCGTCCTTCGCGTCTCGCTCTACTAGAGTTGCTCTTCGTGGCTCCCGCGGGGCGAGCACAATGCCCCTCACAAAGCTCTTCTTCGGAGCACCGCACAAGCTTCTTGCGGGCTTCGACGGAGACCACCACCAAGTCGTCTAGGAGGTGGCAACCTCCAAGAGTAACAAGCACCACCGTCTTGCAGGACAACCACCTAGTGTCACTCGATGCAACCTCACCGTGCAATCGCACTAGAATCGCTCACTCACTCGATCAGATGAACACTATCAAGCTTAAGTGACTTAGAGGGCTCCCAAGCACTCTCAAGCATGGACACAAAGTCCCCCAAGGTGCTCCTCCGTAGCCATGGCCGAGACACCCTTCTATTTATAACCCCATGGGCTAAAATAGTCGTTACCCCTTCACTGGGCTTTCTGCGCACCTACCGGATGCGCAAGTCCACTTGACCAGACGCGTCGATCCCTACGTTCGGTCGCTGCCGCGCTTCCACGTGTCACTAGCCGTTTTGAACTAACCGTTGCCGCCAACGGCTATCTCGCGTGCGCGCCTTCATCCACCGATCGGACGCGCTGCTTAGCTTGACCGGACTCACCACACCTCAGCGTCCGGTCAACAACAGAGAGCTCCTAGAGCCTTCAAAACACGACCGGACGCGTCCGTTCACATGTGACTGGACACGCCATAGCCTGAGTCCGGTCGTTTCCAGAGAGCTCCCCGAGCCTCTGTTTTGTGACCGGACGCGTCAGGTCAGTCACGATCGGACGTAGCACCTGAGTCCGATCCTTCACGGCCTACCACGCGTCACTGTTGCTCCTTATGCCACCACGTCAGCATACGTCAACGCTGACCGGATGCGGCCACTGCGCGTCAGGTCACCTTTTCGCCCAGCGTCTGGTCACTTAATCGGGATCGCGCGCTCTCTGCTGTCACTAGACCGGACGCGCTGGTCCTCCCGAGGCCAGCGTCCGGTCACTCACAGTGACCTATTTCGCCTCCGTTTCTTCGTCGAGTTGATCCATTTCAACTCTAACTTCTTTCTCCTTTGTAAATGTGCCAACACCACCAAATGTACACCACCATATGTATGTGTGTTAGCATTTTTACAATCATTTTTAAGGAGTTAGCCACTAAACTTGCCACACCACTCGATCATAGGGATATGTTTTAGTAGTTTGCCCCTCTTGATAGTATGACCATCTATCCTAAATCCGGTCATAAACTTCTCTATACACCTATGACCGGTGAAATGGAATGCCCTAGGTTATACCTTTGCCTTGCGCATTCCATTCGATCTCCTCCATTGTTGATGCAACACATGCGCCAACCAATCACCAAATGATATGATCCACTTCATATCATCACGTGACTATATTGGTTCATCGATCTTGACGTCACTTGCTTTTCACCATTGCCTTCATCCATCGGCGCCAAGTCTTGCTCAAGCTTCACAGCCACGCGGTCCATCGCTCCAAAGCCTCCAACTTGCCCTTCACGCTTACAATCGGTCCATCAAGCCAAGTCTTATCTTGATCTTCTCCCTTGATCACATGACTCAATGTCATGTCTCATGTGCAATGAGCTCCTTCATCATCACATGTGTGAGCTTTGCAACATCTCTGAGTCATTTCCACTTCCATGGCATATGTTGCTCACACACATGTACCTGTGGACTAATCACCTGTGTATCTCACATAAACACAATCAATCCACCTAGAGTTGTCACTCAATTATCAAATTCAAACAAGGACCTTTCATCGGCTAGGTTGGTTTCCTAGTTTGTTAAAAGATTAGTTGGATCTTTGCAGATTGGATCGGTTTCTAAGGGCGTGATTGGTTGCTCCGAGGTCGGCGGTCCGGGATGGTGGCCCTGTCCAGGTTCTTCCGAGCCGGCATAAAATCATTCACCCACCTTTGTTTGGTTTGATTTAGCTTAGATGTCCTGGATGACATTGATTCTGTTTGGTTGCCGCTGTTGATCGTTTTGCTGTATGAAGTGGTGGTAGCGTTTGTGTTTTGTTGGGCGCACGGCCTGGGGTGCGAGCACCCATGTACCGTTTTGGTGTGGTTACCACTAGCTATTGCAGAATGAAGAACAATAGAAGGAAATAAAGATAACTTTTCCTCAGTTCAACAAGCTTGGCATTGACAATGACCTTGGAGCTTCTAATGACATAAGTAAACCTGACAATAGTACTCCCAGCAAATCATGAACAACAAAAGTCACAGTTCCTCACAAGGTCATTGTCTTTACACGTGTTCATGGCATTTTGAAACCATCACAGGCAATATGAAACAATTA